AAAGCTGTATCGTGCCTCTTATTTTTTTGGTGTATAAATGTGCAATTATACCAGGTTTTACTTTTAAAAAAAAACAAAAATCACTACAGTTCCTTTACTTAAGCTCCTAAACTGCCACTTGCCTGGTTCCAGCAATTCACTCTGAGGTGACTTATTGGACCTCACCTAGTTCTGTTGATTAGGCTTGGTCCCAGAAGGAAGAGTAAAATGGAAAATGCTATACATGTTACCCAGAGTAAGTGCTACAAGTAACATGAAATACAGCTCACCAAAACACTAATCTTTGCTTTTGAGAAATTAGTTTGATGTCCTTTTAAAAATAATTTAAGAAAATCTAGGTTTTATCACACTAAAACTTTATTTTATATATGTATATGGTAAATGTTTGCTTTTATAAACTTACTAACATGAAGGATTTCCTTGAATATTCCAATGCAACTCTTGTTGAAACAGTATCCAACATGAAATTTTATCTTCTTTGTTTTGGACTTAGTACTCTTTAATATCTGATAAATTTTATATGGTAAGCCAGGGTATATTCTATATACTGTAGATACCTTAGATTTAAGTATATTTACACAGCTTCTTCATTGTGTCACATTTTGTTTTTATATCTCTAACAGCTCTGCTGAGATGTTGGGTTTGGTTTTCGTTTTTGTCCTTTTGCCTTTGTTTGGTATGCCATTTCAGTAATCAGGGTAGAAAAGAGCTCTGAAGTCTTTGTCTCTGAGGGAGAGATCTGTGTTGGTGTGAGAAGTCATTTTAATGATGCCAGTGCCAAGTAGCTCTCCTCACACCCTCACCTTCAGCCTGTTTGGTGTGCTGTTAAATCACAGGTTCTAGAAGCAATCAGAAAGCCAGCTGTGCTTTCTCTGTGCATATGTAGTTATGCACTGTGCTTGCTTGTGTGACCCCCACTGAAATGTTCCAAAAGACAGATTATTCCCTCATAGACTGAAGTTGACATTTGCTCATTTTTAAATCTGTCTGTGGTCAGAGCATAAGTGGTTTAATGGTGTGGGGAGGGTGGAGGGTTTGTTTTGTTCTTTAACATAGATGTTAATTCTTTGATGGAGGAAATGAATGAATGTATGATTGTTGATAATCAGCATGAAGCTTCAGAAATTGGCTCAGTAACAGCTAACTGGGAAGTCCCTGAGAAAGTGTCCCAGGGTGCTGTGCAGTGGCAGCGGGTGGGGCTGGGTCAGGCCTGATGAGTAACCTGGGAACTGCCTGCCTCTGGCTGTGAGGGGTGGGGTGGAGGCCTGCATCCCTGCAGTGCTGAAGCAGGTGCAAACAGTGATTCACCTCATTAATGTCCAGTCAAAACTAGAGTTAGGAGGGAGGTGGGCTTTCTTTTCACTTTTGTTTCAACAAATTCTCACTTTACTCTAATTCTCAAAATTGATCAGGCCTAAGGAGCTCTGGTAGCGTAGTGGTTACGAATCGGGCTGTGAACCTTAAGGTCAGCGGTTCGAAACTACCAGCCGCTCCGCGGGAGAAAGATGAGGCTTTCTACTCCCGTAAGGATTTACACCCTCGGAAACCCTATATAGGGTCGCTATGGGTCGGAACCGACTCAACGGCACTTAACAACAACAACAAGCTAACTGCAAGGTCAGTGGTTCAAACCCACCAGCCACTCCCTGGAAACCCAATACAGGGTTGCTATGAGTCGGGACCAACTAGAGAGCACTTAACAAGGTATAGAAAAAGGTACCCATGTGGGCCAACAGCTAAACACTCTACTGCTAACTGAAAGGTAGGCTGTTGGAACACCCAGTGACTCCATGAGAGCAAGACCCTGAAGCTCTGTTTCTGTAAAGATTACAGTGTAGAGAAGCCTATGGGGCAGGTCTCCTGGGTCACATAGGGTCACTCCAAGTCAGAATCAGCTCAGTGGCACGTAACAGACTATAGGATAGGCTGACTTTTAGAGTAACTGCAGTGTACAGCCTTCTCTGTGCTCAAGTCAGGAACAGAGCTGAACACTAAACAACAGAAATGGTGCAGGGGTGGGCACTTACTTCCAGCTTCCTGCTATCATTTACACAGAATATTTGGAAATAGCCTGTAAATTATGTGGAACTGAGATTTTGAATATCAAGTCATGTAAAGGAGTCCTGGTATGGTGCTATAGGATAAGCACTGGACCACAATATCAGTTTGGACCAAAAGGTTTGCAGTTCAAACTCACCAGCCGCTCCTCAGAAACACTATACAGGGTCCCTATGAGTTGGAACCCACTTGCACTTGAGAGCACTTAACAAGCTTAACAACAAAAGGACACTCAGTAGGGCAGGCTGTTAGCATTCTTCCCTGGTTCATGAAATGGAATTTCCTTTTTGAGCAGTTTCTTCCATGGTATCTTCTTAAATCAGGGTCATACCCAGACTTGTAGTTTGTAAAATAAAAATGCCATCTATAAAGAATGTAGTCTCTGGCCTGCCCAGGATATTGTTGCTTATCTTTCTTTCATTTCATTTTTAAAAACAGAACTCTTACTTTTACATTCACCTTAAAGGTGCTGCCACATTTTATGTCCTAAAAGGATAAGAAAACAAATTCCCCTGCATGTGTACAGCTTGGGAAACTTGAGGGGAAGTTGCTTTATTACTGTATAGTGCAGATTAGATTTGAATCACTTGCAACAAGGCTGATCTTGTAGCCAATCCCAACTTGTCCAAGTTGTTGCAGACATGAAGTGATCAAATGGAACAACTAGGGCCACCACAAATTGCTCTCTGGCTATTTGTAAACAAAAAGTAGAACTCACTTCCATTGTCAGGTAGGATAGGAAAGAAACATAATTACAGTTTTACCACAAATTAGCTATTATTGGAATAGTTGGAAATTTATATATACGAACTCATAAACTTTTATCTGGGGTGGGGTACAGAGAGAAAAGGGGGTTATAATAAAGGGAGGGTAATGATCATGTTTACCACAGGTACGAAGTAGTCACTTTAACATTGAGACCTCTGCCTCATTGAATTCAGGTTTTTAAGTACTTGAAACTTCTCAGATTCTCATTTTACAGTTTTCTTTCAAATTTATGAAGTAGAAAGCACTGTTCTTTTGTATTTTGTTTAGAAAATAGTCTAGTCTCTTATCCTCTTTAAGTGGGTTATTGGTGAGGTTCTGCAAATGGCAGATGGTTCCGAGTAGATAGCTCAGATTAACATAGGCATTTGAGGGACTCTTGCATGAGATACCAGCAGCATTTTATGAATTTTTTTTAATGTATGATCGTTACTTTGTCATGTTGTCAACCCTATCCCTAAGCACCTTTTCTTTTAATATATGCGTATGTAGGGGTGTGTGTGTGTGTGTGTGTGTGTGTGGTGGGGAGGGAGACTGCACTTACGTTACACTCCTGAAATGTTGGCTGTAACCTATGTGCTTCACAAACTCTTTCCATCTTTGTCAGTCCATTGCCTAATTAAAATCATGTGCTTTATTTTATGGCACTTATATGTGAAAGGTGAAAAGGAAGAGATCACTTTTCAGCAGCCTCTAAAAGTCATTAATGTGCAAGTAAAAAGGGAAAACAGAGCATTTGCCAGTGTCATTTCTTCAGTCCTTAATTACTGGCATCTGCTAAGTGTTGAAAGCACCCTCAGGTTCCCTGCCTGCCCACAGACTGCTGATAGGTGAGAATGGCCCTCAAGTATCCCTCAGATTACCTACATGAGGTATAAGGTATTCTTGTCAGATTTGCCCTGTCACATACCCAGTTAAAAAGAGAAAACTCACATTGCCACTGGTAACCAAGCTGCAACAGCTGGCTAATAAAGTCTTTTTATACACAGGAGTGTGCACATTTGGAATTGGTATGAGAAATTCATTTGTATCCACATTGAGTGATATTGCACAACAATCACAGATACCTACAAATACCGGGTTCATTTCCTTGTGATCTTTATGATAATGACCTTTGTAGATTGGTTATTTCTGTACTTTGTTTATCTGTAATAAACTTTGTAGATCCTGTGAATTGTTATTTTGCCTAAATCACTTGAGATGAGTCTTTAATAACAAAGCATCAGTATTCACTAAAGTCGATCTCTTTTGAGTTTCTGTGACTTGGCTAGAAACTCTTGACACTAACAGATGAGTGTTACCTTTCCCTGGGGGTGTACCACTAGGGCATTACTGTATAACGACTTGATGTTGACACATAGACTTCAAGATATGATATTTTGGGGATTTTGTTGATTGGCCTCTGTTTTATTGCATAGTGTGAAAATGTGTAAAGCTTGGTTAATCTGTATATAAACAGCTTATTGTCAACTAGTTGTAGTGTATTTAGGATTGCCTGTAATATTTAAGCTTCTTACTGATGTGCGTGCTGGTTGGAACATATAATTTTTGTACATTATATTTACTGAAATGTTGCCTTTTTTATTTTACAAATACTTTGGAATTCAAATGTGTTTTTGCTTCCGTGAGGATTAATTTGGAAAGATTTTTAATGACATTCCACTGATTTCAGATTTTGCTTGAGATTGACTTCAATAAATTGTCCTGTATGTTCCAAATTACTTATGTGGACTTGTTCTTTGCATGTAATTTCTTGCTACAACTCATTGAGCATAAGACTACCATTGGGGGTGACAGAATGAACAGTATCTCCAGCCTCAGCCAGTGGGGCCTGCACCACAGCCAAGTCCTATAATAGAGTCCAGGGGGTCCTTCAAATTACTGCTTTGTTACTGAGAAGAAACTTGAATCTAAAAAAAGTAGGATTTGGTTTGGTTTTCATACTTGGAGAAATATCCTTGTGGACTTTTGCTCCTCCCTTTAGTGGGCGATTTCTTTTGTTAGAGGATCCCCACAGGACAAAGGCAAAGAAAGGCACCATTAAAAGCTACTGGATTACTGATCTGCTACGGACTTCCTCCTCCAGCCCCACCCCCGGGGCCGCCCTCTGTCCCCGCCCGCTCGCCCGCCCCTCCTGCGGTCACGTCAGCGCACGTCAGCCGTGAGCAGCGGGCGGGATGGGGAAGGCAGCGGGAGCGGTGGCCGCTTTGGGGGCCGAAGTGGGTGTGAGGATCGTACTGTTCGCGACTTTCATGTAAGCAATTTGCGCACCCAACTCAAGGGTTCTGGCACCCTCTTGCAAACAGGCTTGTGGCTGACCCTGGAAGAGGCCGGCCGGCGGGACTCCCTACCCCTCCGCCAGGCGCCCAGGCGGGAAATTGGGGGCCCGGCCAATTGGGGCTTCCAGTTCGGAAAAGCAGCCTTCCAGCCAACGTGCTCTTTTGTTTCCCCTTTAGGTTCACAGAGGTGCTTGCTCCCTTCCAAAGGCTTATCCAGCCAGAAGAGATGTGGCTTTACCGGAATCCTTACGTGGAAATAGATTATTTCCCAACCAAGCTGATGTTTGTGTGTGAAGTAGCCCTTCTAACCCTTAGTATTAAGTCTGTGAATGAGGAGGAAAAAGTGGTGGTTCTGACCACAAGATGATTTTGTACGGATCATATGCATCCTTTGTTTTCAGAATATTTAAGTTCTTAATGTCTAAATGTTAAAACTCTGCATTTAGAGAGCAAAATGTCAAGAGTTTTGTGGGGAGGCGGGGATGCAGGATCCCAAGAGACATGTTCTTTTGTTAGCTGTTCCTTAGGACAGGTGACTGGTCATTTTGAATAATAGGTGGCGGTGTTCTATACCTGGTGGAACTGACTGACCCTCAGTCACCCTGTGGGCAGAGGATACTGAGGCCCTCTACTTATAGAACTGTCAGGGCTGATACACTTCTGCCGTGTCTCTTCTGTCTCTGTTCCCTGTAAGAACTGCTTTAACAACTAATTTCCTTTTACCTTTGACATATTCTCTGATTCAGGTCATTGCATTTCTTGCTCCTCTGTCACTGATCCTCTTGGTCAAATGTCTCAAGAAGGCAGACACAACAGACAGCAAACAAGCCTGCCTGGGTAAGAGCTAACCCTTTGTGCCTGGTGTTGCCTTGTTTTTTCCGTAGTTCTGTGAAGATCATTGGATTCTGCAGTCCTCGAGTCATTCTGAAGACAATGGCGGTTCAGTGGTAGACTTCTCACTTTCCATCAGGAGATCTGGGTTTTGTTTCTGGCCAGTGCACTTCTAGTGTAGTTACCGCCCATATGTCAATAGAGGCTTCCTTGCTGCTATGATGAACACGTTTTGGTGAAGCTTCCAGACTAAGACAGACTAGGAAGAAGGACCTTAAAGATCTACCAAAAATCAGCCAATGAAAAGGCTATGGATCATAAAGATCCAATCCCATTGTGCCTGGAGAGTCACCAAGTGTCATGAGTTGGGAACCAACTCAACAGCAGCTAACCACCCTCACCCCCTTGGTACTCTGAGAGAAAAATAGTAACAGGAAGTTTCTTTGCTTTCCAGCTGCCAGCCTTTCCCTGGCTCTGAATGGCGTCTTTACCAACACAATAAAACTGATAGTGGGGAGGTAAGTGCCAAGTTAGCAAGCCCTGTGTCTGCCTTTGCCCTTCAGAAGAGAATAGTGGCACACTGTCACACATACTTCCTTTATTCTTAGTCTAATCTTTCTCCTTTCCCTTTCCCACAATCCTACAGGTCGGAGGCACTAGGGTTCTTCTCTGCCTTGAACAGCATTTCTCACTGACCACCAGAGTAGAGGCTTTGTCCTCACAGATCCCCCTCAAAGCTGCAGTGATAGTCACTTTGCCCTCAAAAATAATTGTGTAGTAGCGTGGTGCCCTGTCTTCCCTAATTTAAATCTTAACTCTGGAAATACCACTTTGCATTAGTGTGGTGACTCTCCTAATGCAGTGCCATTTGCATGTGATACTATTTGACAGGATCAGTGATGTCTGAGAAAACTGAAAAAGCTCATTTTGGGAGCTATAAAAAGATCTGTGTTCACACCATACTTATTTCTGCCAGGCCACGCCCAGATTTCTTCTACCGCTGCTTCCCTGATGGGCAAGCCCTTTCGGACCTGATGTGCACAGGGGACAAGGACGTGGTGAATGAGGGCCGCAAGAGCTTTCCTAGTGGACATTCTTCCTGTATGAGCAGCACGTCAACTCTACTTCTGTTCTTATTTCTGAATCATTGAATTTAATGTAGGAAGCTTATACAGATGGGAATATCTGACTACTCTTACTAGTTATATCTAGAAATTTATAAAATATATCTAGAAACATAAGACCCTTTACCCTTCTTTAATAACCTAAGATTTTATAAGCCCCATTTAGGGTAAAAATTCAGGGACAGAACAGGTAATTTATCTTCATGAGACCTGCACAAGTTGTTTTCTCTTTGTAGAGATCTTGGAATATTGCAGTGGACATAAATATACTACATTTACTGAAGAATTACTATGTGACAGGTGCTTTGAAAAGCACTTACTTGATGTCTTACAACAGTCCATTAAGGTGGGGACAGTTATTTGTATTTCTCCCACTTAAGAGATTGAGAAGTCACCAGCCTAAAATCATATAGCTAGTATTCTGAAAAGTTATTTTCAGGTACACTATTATTAATGTGGGATGCAAAATAAATTCATTTTTCCTTTTCCCTCATAATCAACGATCCACAAGAGAAACGTTTGCCACTAAAAGGGAACCATGTCCTTACTTACTACTTGGAGACACAGACTGATAAGTTTTCCCTGTTGTAGTTGCATTTGCTGGCCTGGCCTTTGCGTCCTTCTACCTGGCAGGGAAGTTACACTGCTTCACACCACAAGGCCGTGGGAAATCCTGGAGGTTCTGTGCCTTTTTGTCACCGCTCCTTTTTGCAGCTGTGATTGCACTCTCCCGCACTTGTGACTACAAGCATCACTGGCAAGGTAAGCAAGGTCTTTAAGCCTGGAAGCTTCTCTGTGTCTCCTGCAACTCTTGCCCCAGTTAGGGCATAGCGGAGCTGCTCTGGAATCTCTATCATGAGTATGGATTTGTATCTCTGGTTGAGAAAGCACAGTTACCTTTTAAAGACTTGCCAAGGAGGTTGCTTCCTCGTTTTTCCAAAGTATCATTATTCAAAATAAACTCCAACTACAAGATTTTTTTAAAAAAACAAGCATCAAAGGTGAACGTCTTACTCTTCACAAATAAATAAAAATCAAGTGCACTGTCATAAGATTTCTGTTTAGAAATACAAGTAAAATTCAAGAAAACATAAAATTGTCATTAGAGAAATTTAAATTGAGTTCTATAGTAAACTATCCAAGTTACAGACTGTTTTCAACAATTAGTATTGCCCAGGCCCTCAGGAGCACTATTTTAAAGAATAAACTTGTCTTCTGCAAGGAGGCAATTCCTGAGTCCATTCCTTTCTCTTGAACTATATGGGGTATAAAAAAAAGCATCAAATGAAGATTTATTATTTTTCTGAATGAATTCTTATTTGAATGCCCTTAAGTTATGGTCCAGGCAAATAATACAGTCCATATTATGGAATGTCAGAACAAAATAATCTTTGAAAGACATATAGCCAGAATACTTCTGATGACCTGTACCTGGTGTTAGGAGGGGCCAGTTCCCAGAAAAGAGCATCATGCTCGGTAGTCAATCAAGGAGGAAGACCACAATGAGATGGCCTGTGGTACTGTGGCCAGTGGCTCCAACAGTGGGCTCAAACATAGTAACAATTATGAAGATGGCACAGACCATGCAGCATCTCATTCTATTATACATAGGGTCACTGTGAGTCTAAATTGACTCAACAGCATCCAACAACAATTTAATGGGCTTATTGTACTTAACTATAAAGATGTGTTTTGATTTGATGGTTAGAGAACTGACAACTCCATAATCTTGTCACCATATAAAAGCATAAAGAAATCATAAGCCTGCAATTTAGGGTATCTGTGGCCCCGATAAGTAGAGTGACCTAGAGAGCCAAGTCCTTGATACTATGTGGTGTTAAAGTCACTTCAGGAGTCTAAAATAGTTAGGACTTTTTCTCTTCTCCCTTCAGATGTCCTAGTAGGATCCGTGATTGGCCTGACTTTTGCCTATGTCTGCTATAGGCAATATTATCCTCCACTGACGGACGCAGAATGCCACAAACCATTTCAGGACAAACATGCACTTCCCACTGTACAGAAGAAACCTGGCGATTCCTATCATTTTGACATTTAGAAATTGGACGTACACCAGGGAAGAGTAGGTGAATCAGCCTTCCTAAAATGGATGATCATGTACCAGGCAGAAGTTCTGGCCATTTTATCTCTGACGAACTTGAGTGAGGACTTGGGTCCCACTGCATTTTACCTCTACATGTGTGTGGTTTCACTTCTGCTTACATGGATCCACCATGAGGATCAAGGTCCTTTTCCACACTCTACGTCACATTCTGATAAAATGGATCTTTCTAGAGTCCTCCAACAGCTTATGAGTATTAATCCAGTTGGAATCCCCAATCTACATATTTCCACTGAATTTAAATGCTGTTCTTAGAAAGATCTTGTCACATGCCATTTATATATCTCCACTCTGTCCTTACAGCTAGCGTGAAATTATCAAAACTCAATTTCTACTTCTCATAGCCCAAAATCTTAACATCTAGGGCATGAACAACAAAATTAGTTTGGTACTGTTTACCTTCTCTGGGAAAATTCCATCAAGCCTTAAATAGAAAAATGTCTAATTCTGACTAATATTATCACTTATTATACATAACTGATCTTAGTCCAACCAGATAGTGCTGTCACACTTAGGATACTATGAACATAAACCACCTGTTGCATTACTAAGTGAACACAATTAAAAAAGAAGAAATTGATCAGGAGTGTGGTTTCAGTACTAAAAACTAATACTTGTTTCTTTTTACCTCATTAAAACTGGCTCATGATCTGTTTCTCCTGCATTCATTACTGAAGCATTGTCCAAATGAACCAGTTCTGCCAAATAGCTAAGGCAAGAAGGAAAAATGACACATTTATCTGGAGGACAAATGAATCTTACTCTGTCCCCTTTTTACAATAAGAAACCACTGTGAGATTGCATCAGACCTGATGCTTTAGGACAACCTACACCTGTCATTTTATTGGTATTATACTTGCAGTATGACACTGTCTTGGGTATCTTTTCCTGTAAAATATTTTCAGTGCATATTTTCCTTCAGTAAACTCAATATTCAAATACAATGTGAATGTGCTTTTTCATGTACAGACAAGCCCCTGGCTTGTGAATGTGTGACTTACAGACAATTCCTTTGTTAAGTGCTGTTGAGTCAGTTCCGACTCATAGCAACCTTGTATAGAGTTTCTAAGGAGCAGCTAGTGGGTTTGAACTGCCGACCCTATGGTTTGCAGTCCAGTGCTGACTATAGCAGCATACCAGGAGTCCACAGACAGCTCCTACTTGCCTTTTAATGCATGGCTTCGGACCAGTTCTGTAATGGCCAATGATGCAAAATAGGAACAGACCTGAAGTTTTACAGTTTGGGTGATTCGTCACAGTAGCAGGAACAGAAAAATTGGGGTAGTAACCCTGAAATAGAAGATTCGGAAGAACTGTCGTAAGCAGTTTCAGGAGCCTGAAAGATGAGATTGGATTATCGGCAGAAGTGGAGCGCCTCACACAAAGACGCATGGTCAGCCACCATCTTTGCAGCCCCACTTTAATGTTCTGTCCACCTCTATGCACAGCCAATTCAGCACAGTCACCTTTACTGGCTGCCATATGTGTGGCTTTTAAGTCACTAAAAAGGTTTCAAGCCTTTTCTTGCACAAAATAAGAATCCTATGCAACGGTTGTGACCGACACATTTCTTTTTTTAACCTATAAGTTCTTGACAAAAAAATTAGAAACAAATCTCATTCATATTCTTTCCTAATTCAGGCACTGTCTGCATCTAAAGTGTCATCCGGGGTAGAGAATATTTTCACAGTACAACACTAGTCTCCATTTGACAGAAGTGATTTGGTTTTAAACTCAGAACTCTATCTGCCTATGAGAATGGAAACACCAGTCATGGGAAAAGAACTTAAGTATGAGTTCTTTATGCTAAACTTTTTTTTTTTTTTTTTTAATACCTGTTTTAGTAATACATAGGGACAGAGAAAATGGTTATTATATTGATTTTCTTTTATGATGCATGAAGCCAGGTAGAAGTAGGCAACTGGTCAATACAGTTTTATTTCGGTATTTACTAAAGTTTTAAATATAATCATGTAAAAAACAAACATTTCGAAAGTGCAAAATATTAGAAAGCTAATCAGTGCTATTAATCATTCCATGCAAACAACCTTTTTTGCTGAAATAAGCAGTACTAATTCTGCAGCTGGGAATATGTACAAAATAATGCTGTACCAGACAGAGTTTTAAAGTAGATTTGGTCAAGAGATTGCACATGATACAACTGAAATAGTGCAAGTCATATAAAACTAAATAGATTTAGAGCAAGTGTATGAGCCCATAATAACACCACAGGTGGATGGACGAGATACAGAGCTCTTTAACCATTACCTGCCCCTCACCACCGTCAATACAAACAGTGGCTTCTCCTGCTCTCCAGGGTCATGCGGTCCCTCTTGGACTACAGGGACTCACTCTCACTTGTCCTTTGGTTTGCTCATAAATAGTAGCTAATCTACTGATATGAAGAGTAAATTTATATTTGAAGACAGCCATTTGAAAACAGCTTTCCCTTTAATATATATAGTGAATGCTGTTTAATCCTCAGCAATCCATACTCTTAATATTTGGTGTTTATAAACTATAGAAATTAGAATACTCCACATATCTCCTTATATCTGAGACTTCTTAGTGGCTTAGTCAGCATCAGTTTATCAGTTTATAGAAAGGCCAGGTTCTGACTATAGGCCGACCTCTCCTTCACCATCTCCAGGGGACTAACTGCTCCAGAAGGGGATAAAGATCATGTTTCCCTGCCTTAGGGTGGTGGCTCAAGTAAATAATAAATGCCAGTACTTTGGATCATTATACATTTTACAAAAAAATATTTACAAAAACAAAACGTAGCTTGTCTACCTATGCTGCTCTAGACCCAGGGGCCTGGAAATCTGAGCGGGAGTATAAAGGGCCATCTGAGAACTGCAGTGGTAGTTACTAGCTCTGTCCAGTGTAAGAGAACACTTACAGCAATGTGGTAAGCAGGTGCTCTGAAAAACATTCACCTGCAATCACTTGTCTTCAAGGTAAACCTAATCTTACATGTTCCAGACTCAGCTCACACAGCCTACAAGTGGAGTTTCAGGACTCTCTACAGTTTTCTTTCAGAATAAACGGAATTAAACATTTCCGCCCAGCCATACCTACTTGCTCAACCAACATTGCCTATCCTAAGTGCCTTTAAATAAGGCAATGCTGGGTTACAAGTACCTAAGAAGGAAAGAGGCTTATAAAATGTTTTTAAAGAGGACAAACAATACCACCTTCACTGAAGCGGACATGGCAGGACACTTAGACAAATTGTGTTTCATCATAAAGGCACCACTAAAAGGTTGTACTTACAACCTAATAGTCAAGGCTGTGTTATTTTGTATTGCTCGGCTCTTAAAACCTTATGCTAACATAAGAATAGAAACTATTATCAAACTTTATCTTGAGTATCCTAATTTGAAGAATGACAGAAAAGGGTTGTTGTTGGTATGTGCCATAGCGACCCTGAATAGGATTTCCAAGGTTAACTTTAAGTCTTGGTAGAAACAGAAAGCCTCAACTTTCTACCTCAGAGTGGCTGGCAGACTCAAAGTGCAGACCTTGTGATCCAGTGCATATCGTATGGAGCCACCTCACTCCTATAAAAGGGGAGACCTAGGATATATAACATCTTTGCTCTATGTAGATGTATCTAATGTGAACAAAATCATCCACTTCAGACTCTTAACAGCAGCTCGAACAGCATAAAAACAATGAACACCATCAGTGATTCCTAGCAACAATAAACCTGTCAGTCAACTGTAGAGAGGAAACAATACCCTCTTTCCAAGCTACATTCCAGTCTTTCTTCATCCAGTACACATAGGAAAGCAGCACTGGTTTAAAAAAAAACCTGTCTGAGAAAACCATTTCTAGATTCATTTAGATTGTCTTCAAGTATAGACAAGAGATGAATTTATCCCAATATGCCTTCTGAATCTCAAGAATCTGCTTTCAAACTACAAGGTTTTCTAAAGATAAGTAATCACTTCCTAGAGAAATTTCTACCTGACCAAAAAGAAATCAACTATTATCTGGAGTAATAAAGCAACAATATGTGGCACCAAAAACTAAACATGCAAACCACCCGCAGCCTGAAGAATGGCAAGGTTTAAACAAAATCAGTAGTAATGTCTTCCCTTTGCTCTTCCATTCATTTCCAAAAAGGAAGATTATCTTCCAAAGACCCCAATGGTGAGGAAGTAGCAGGCAGCATGCAGGAAATGTATGCAGCTGAGGAGAGGAAAACTGCAGCAACAAACAGGTAGACTTTCTGGGGAAGGAGCCTTCAGTGTCCATCTAGGGAAGAGAGCGGGAAAAGAGGTGAGCATGCAATTACAATGGGTGGCTGACAGGCAGGGAAGATGCCAGGGCTAGCACACAGACCAGCTACACATCCAAAAGGCTGAATGAATCCTTTCCATCTCAGACTGGGCTGTTTGTGATTTAAATTACAACTGCTATCATGTAACCGTCAGAGGATCAGACTATTAAGATTCTGAGTTCAGATCCTAAAATTGACAGGTGTCAGTGGACAAAATCACTAACAAAATGTACATAAGCTTTTCAAGTAAGCTGTTGTGTTTTTTCCCCATGAATTTTACCCAGAGTACTTCTAAAAATGAACAGTTATCTAGAGACTGGTGATAAACAATAGTAAAGTATATTTATAAACAGCTTGAGGCTCTGTAGTTTCTTATAACATGTTAGGAATGCTGGAGAGGTGACAATTAAAAACTTACATGAAGCAGCCACACCTGGGTCATTTTTACTGTAAAGGCTGATCAAGGAAGATACCCTGGGTTTGGTAGATTTCTTTGAGGACCAGCAATACAGTATCTTCAGATTCCCTGTAAAGGCAAAAAAGAAGACTGAGGAGAAGAAGTAACTAACATTTGTACTTGATGCTTTCATTTAATCCACACAACCACCTTGCAAGTTCATTTTTTTTATTATTACAAGAAGTTCATTTTTTTTTTTT